AAGCAGCTCTGATGGCTGTGGAAAGAAAGCTGAACCTGGAGGACAAATCAGATTGGTAAGGGAGCAGTCAGGACTCAGATGAGCAGATTTACTAACTTGTTAGTATCCATGTTCCTCAGAGGAACATGAGGACTTGCACATAAGTCTAAAACACAGACTTGTTCTCTTTTCGGTTTAGTTATTATATGAGCTTTCCTGTAGTGTCACCCTCATGGTGGATGTAAAGGTTTAATAAACAAAAACCAGCCTTTCAGTATTATCCTAAATGATGTGTGTGTAATAGTTGGATGACAGCTCAAAGAGCTCAGGATGTTATTTGTTTTGTTCCGTCTCTAGCGAGATTTCATCCTCTCCTGTTGCTGTTGTATTAATATCTGCTGTGTCATCTTTTCATACCAGTGGAGCAAGCACAGTGAGATCTGCAGGGACCATTCTGGATGACATCGGCAACATGTTTGACGACCTGGCTGACCAGCTGGACGCCATGTTGGACTGAGGAGTTTTCTAAAATCCCTAAAATGAAAAAAAGAAATTTGCCGTTGAACCTCAGGAAGTGAACCACAGTAAGAGAAAAAGGGGGGAAAGGAGAGATGATAGAGGGATTTCCCCACCAGCGTTTTACCCCCTGACTCTGAATTTCCACGGTGGAGACAGAGGAGATTTCTCAGCCTGAACACCAGCACTTATTCTCCAGTATGTTTCCTAAACTGAGTCCTTTACTCACAAAGGAGTTGAATGTGGCCGTCGAATTTCCTCGAGTCAGTCCAGCACAGACAGTTTTTACATTTTATATTGTATCAAATATGAATCAAACAGAGACAGAAGTTGGACCAGTGGTATATTATCAGCCCACAGCAGTGGGTGTTATTATTATTGTTATAGTTAAAAACTAATATTGTTTTATCTTTTTGACAAGTCCTGACATCACTTCCTGTCCGGCCTCTGTTCCAGTAGCTCATTCTGTCTTTGGGTAGAAGTTCCCGGACTTTATTCTCCATAATGTGAGAAACATGCGGGTTGATTCATGAGTTTGAAGGTTCATCAGACGCCAAAACTCTACACACAGCTTTATAATATTCTGAGAGAGGAACACTATCACAGAGACAGTCAATATTACGCTTAATGTTGCAAAGTTATCAAATAAGAATGTGGTCTTGTTAGACCAGCGGAACCGCAGCCACTTTGCAGTAAAGTTAAAGCCTTTTTGTTCCCTTTTAATTGCATCCCACCAACATTTTAGCTGTAAACAAGCTGTTCAGTCTCACAGCGTGCCACTGCTGCTCCTTACAGTTAGAATACAGCACTTACATGCCATATGTTATTTTTCCTTATGTCCGTACTGGCTGTGAAGTGATCCCTTATTTACAATGAAGCCTTCAGCAGTCGGAGTTGCCCATATCAAGTGGGTATTTTCTAGTAATAAACTTGCACGACAACCAGGATGAAAATACTGTATAGCTACGGTATATTAAATATTTACCACACTTATAGTATATAGGCATACACAGTGAACCACACACCATACTGTAACGTTGTGTTTAAAGGCTGCATGTTTAATGAGTTGTGTTATTACAGATGTTCTTACTGCTGGAACAAAATCCAGATGATCCAGTTTCACTTCAGCTCTGTCTTAACCATGTCCGATCATTTCAAATTTTACCTGTGTAATATTTAAAAATCCGTTTTATTCCAAGTGATCCTAACCCATGTGTAGTTAGTCTTCCACTCGCCTGTTGCCAGTATGTCCGTCTTCTTAGAAACTGACCTTTTCTACAGATATTTGTGTATTTATGAACCTTCTAAACGTGTTCAGTAATAATGCCACGTGCAAAGAGAAGAGATGCATGTTCAGTTCGTTTCACATGTGGATTCCGTCTTTGTATGTACAAGGGCAGATAGTGTGACGTGACAGTAATATTCATACATACTATTTTTTGATATTCAATTTAGGAAAATTAGTATTTAAATTAGTCATCTAAATATGTATATTGTACACTAGAGGTATATACAGGAGCAGAAACCCAACCAAAGGACTTTGTACAGATTCTCTTCAGATATTTTCAGAAACAAAAAAAAAACAGACTGATGAGCTGTTAGCTGCCTTGTTATTGTTTGTTTATGAAATGTTATGTTTGTGTCCAGCCTGCAGTGTATGGATAAAGTTTCCATATTTAGCATGCCATAAGTGTTTGAACATGTTTAGTTGGCGAAGAAGACCCTGGTTAACCCTGGTGTGTTGGTTTTGTCCTGTGGCCATGCGACCTTGTGTGAATGAGATGTTCTGTGTTGGACTTTTCCTCTGAGTCTCAGGAACACACCGCTCCTCTGGCTTCTCCTGCTCACAGTATGGAAGATATAAAAAAGAAATCTAAGAGTATATGCAGTCACTGTGGCGTGGTACAAGGATAAACATTTGATAAAACTAAAGTATTAAGCTTGCCCTTGAATGACTTTTCCAAATTCATATTTAATAAACAGTTATTTCATTAAAAAAATTTATGAACCACAATAAAACTAAAACTCAGGATGCTTTTTAAATAGTAATAATTTTAAAGCATCTTAATTTGCCCCGAAACAGTCTCAGCTCTACACTAAAAGTATGTATGTGCAATGGGTCAATCTGCATCATAATGGAGGTGGATCGTGTGTGTGTCTCCATGTGAGTGTGCACACTGTATGTCGTTTTGATAATTACTGTTGTTTTCATTGCCTTCTGCTGTATCATTTGTTTAACCATTAAATATCTATAATGTTACCCTACTTGTGTGTTTTTGTAATAGCTCTTTATAGAAAAACAATTTCTATTATACATTTTTCAAATATTTTTTCACTTAACTGAAATAAATGTGCAGCAATAACTACAAATGTGAAGCTGGAGCATGTTTCTGCAGACCATTTGTTATTGGTGGAAGATGAACAGGGTTAGACACTGAGGTCAGTGTTTTAGATTCCTCAGTCAGAAGTTCAGGATTCTTCTCTTCAGCACCAAGGACAGCTCACGTTGTTTCCCTTTATAAGCTTCTTGTTTCTTTTACCAATAGAAAGTGACCAGCTAACAAACTAGAAACACATCCACTAAGACTAATCTTTTTTTTGGAAAAAGCTATCGTATTCATCTTCAGTATGTGTTAGATTAATTGTTAGATTATGGCCAAATGTTCTGTGGTGTACTCACATTTCCTGCTGTGTACTTTGCTCGGGCCTGTGCCCCAGTAGAAATGTATGTCTAGCAATGCCCCTGAGGTTACTGGAATCTTTGAGGAAGTGGCATGGGGTCTGTCTCATCCCTAATGGACTCCTGATACACTACTAAAAATGAGATACTTAAACCACAAACGTGCAAAACAACCACAGAGAGATGTAAAATATCTGCAATGAGAAGATGCAAAATTATCCAAAACAATAACAAAGATACACCAAATTACTACAAATATATTTAAACGGAGGGGCCACAAAGAGATATCCAATAAATACAAAGCAAACAGACAAACTACAAACCATTGTAAAACGATTGGGAAGAGACACAAAACTACAGCTAAAAAATCAACACACATGCAAAACAATGCAAAACCGGCACAAAGAGATGCAAAATATCTTCGATGAGACACAAAATGTTGTTAAAGAAAGAAAGCATAAAGGAACACAAAACAATCAAAAACTACGTGGCTGCATGACCTGTGGTTGTTATATGGGAGTGTTTACAGTTTTGTAGGGACCGGGAGCCTTTTACATGTCTGTGTCCCACCGGTTCTGACACAGTCCGTCTGTAAACTGAACTGTACGTGGTGACGCAACCTGACGCACCTCTGCACCAAAGTCGGTAAGCCACGTGACAGGTTATCCAATTTCCGGGATAACAAAAGCAGCCACGCCCACAACCATTGCGCAGCTGTCTTTGTTTGCTCTGGTTCCTAAGTAAAGTTTATCTTTGTTTTACCTTCGGTAAGCATTGTCAGTGAGTCAGAGTCCGTCTGAGAGAGCTGCTTATCCCCAACTCACTGCCGCTGGGTCGAGGTAAGAGCCCTGGAACTACTTTCTCGCATCGACGGTACAAGAACTTAAAGATTAAGACTTACTCACTTATTTGCAGAAAGTCTTGCCTGATAAAATAAAACTAAAGATGTTTTCTGAATTAATCCGTTACAGACTTCAAATCGGCATTTATATGTTACACTCTTTAGCTTTTTGTTTTAATAGTTTAACTTGAACTGCTGTTCTCACTGCAGTAAACTAGCCAGTCAGTCGGAGGAGTTGAACGATTAAAAAAATGAATTGAGATTAATCTGGAACTTTGGTTTATTAATGCACGCCGTACTCAACGCAGCCTCCTATAAACCCTTAAGGGGCTTTATAGTGTTCTAGTGGACACGCAGCCAAACGAGGAAAGGTTTGGTCTCCAGAGGGAGAACAACTTGGGCGTCACTTTAATTCACCGGGAAGTTTTCTCATGCAACTGCGTGAATTTAACTTGGCTGATACTGTAGATTAGAATAACCACCGTACATAATTTGAAAAGCAGTGACTCTGAGAAGGTGAGGTTCATTGCTGGAAGAGATTCATCTTAGTGGCAGGCCAACGAGGCCAGCGGGGGGAGAAACCGGTCCAGGCAGACGAATTACAGAGTAGGGCGGAGCTGATGGTACTTTAGACCTAACGAGATACTTTATGGTGCTCAAGAGGAAGAAGAGCCATAAGGGACGTCCCTTGTCTTTTATAACCTAACGTTACTTCATGAATCTGACACATTTTTCCAACGCATCCAATTTTTAAAGTCACATGTTTGAAATATGGCTGGGTGAATCAGATTATTTATATAGCGCACTTTTGTACTGGTCAGTGCTTTGTAGGCGACTGATCGCATGTTGCCTTATTATCAGGCTAAGAGGAAACGCCTGAAATGTAATAAATGTAAAATAAAAGGATAAAATAGATTAAAACAGAATAGAAGGCGAGAGCACTTAACAGATAAAACACAGCAAATAAAATGTATTGGTGCACGTTTGCAATATTTATCAGATGATAAAAGCAGATTTAGTGACACACCTCATAGAAGCCTTAAATTGCAGGTAAGTTTATTTATATGACACAGTTTCATACACAAAGGCGATTCGAAGTGCTTGACACAGTACATACAATAGGATAAAACATAAAAATGCACGCATAGATGAAACACTGGAATATAAAATAGATTAACACATTAAATGCAAACTAGAGAAATGCATTTCCTGTTGAAAATGCATGTGGATGCAATGTGCTGAAGGATCGCCCTGAAAATGCTGAACATTTTGACACCTGAAAGGCATATCTACCTGAAAGTATGCTGAAGTAGAATTTTTGAAAAATTGTTAATAGAAGCATGAATGTCCTTGAAAAGCTGAACATTTTGATACCCGAAATAGGTGAAGGTATGCTGAAGTAGAATTTCTCCATTCATTTGAATCAGGGAAAACTTTCAAAATAAAGATAAATATTTCAAAGGTATGAGATTTAGAAAAATTCTGAAGAGCAGCATGAATGTACTTGGAGAGCTGAACATTTTGATACCCCAAATAGCTGAAAGTATGCTGAGTGTAGAATTTCCCCATTCATTTGAATGGTGCAAGATTTTCAGAATAAAGCTAAATATTATAAAAGCATGAAGTTGCAGCAGCACAAAGTAGCAACATGCAAGCGTAGATACCTAGTACTTTTTTGTTTCTTATGAAACATTTGAAACATCAATGTCTATTCAAAGATGCAAACGTTTCTGGCCTGTTGTACAGCATTTAGTCTCTTTCTCTGAGTCTTTGAACCTATTTGTCCTGGTTGGGCTGTATAAAGGTTTTGTGACATCCAGGCACTTGGATCTTGCCAGAAAGAAGCAAACATTTACAAACTGTACCATAGTCTGGTTGTTTGAATGAGGTTTGCACTGATGTTATCTTATCCATCACTCAGACCTTTAATCTGTAACGCAGTTGATAACACAATCTCATAGTAAGACTAGCAAGTTAGAGAGCTGTTGTGCAGAAGTGTTGATTACAGCCCTCTGAAGTGGAGGAGCTGAGAAAATAATCCTTATTCTGTAGGTATACTGAAGTCAGGAACAAAATTACATTAAATTTATAATATTTCCTACTTAAAAAAAAAACATGGTAATCATTAATATGTCTTTAGCAGCCGTATTCTCATCTCAGCTCTGTGAATCTTGTGTAACTTAATAAACATCATAAAAAAAACCAATGTTGCCTGATTTTTATTAGTGCAGTAGCTAACACTTAATGTGTTTTGGCAAAATTTTTATGTATATGAAAATATAAAAATGGCAGTCACTACATTTAAGCCAAGCTTAATACAGAACCATAAAATGTACCAGTCACACCAGTAACTGATAGCTGAAACATTAGGCTAGTAAATGATGTTCTCCTCAGTCATGTTGTCATTTTAATTTTACAGATGGTCACATAGTAGCCTGACATACAGACTTAAACTGAACAAGTCCTATCAAACGATCATTCAGTTACGACAGAAAAAGGTACATTCGTCTTTTTGTACACAGGCATTGCAATATGTGCAACTTCTTTGTGTAGTAGGTGTGTCTGTGTGCATACCTGAGGTTCAGTAGGTAGCATTTGTCATGTCTAAGATCGGAGTACACAGCAAGTTCCCAACATTTCAACATTTGTCTTGTTAGTCAACTCATAAATCTTGAGTTCAACATACAGTGTTCACCTGACTGAAGCTAAACAAAGAAGTTTCTTGTTTGCTTAGTTGCTCTTTTATCTGCTTTTTAATACTTCTGTAGGTATCTCTGAGCCAAGTTAAACTTTGAGCTACGTTCCTTCAGATTGTCATTGCATTAATAAACCAATCCAAAAAGGAGTAAATAATGGAAACTTAACAAAGCTAGGCCTGTAGCATAACTTATTTGTTATTTGTGTGTTTTATTTTTTCATTTCACCAGTTATATAGAAGTACCACAGAGATCATTTCAGTAGTAGAACACTGTACCATGTGACTGTCTTACGTTTTGCAGAACTCCCACTTTGCACTCAAATGAAACTTTTTTTTTAACTTGTTTTCCTTATAGTTTTATGTTAGTTTAAAAAAGGTCACAAATATGAGGTTTGTAATGTTCCTGACAGTCCCACTCCTCTCTGCAGCATTAAGTTTAGATCATGTCCAAGTCTGGAGGAAGCCACAGGCAGGAGGTTGGGATGCCAATGGGCGAGTCAATCATCCGGATCCCACCCCATCACTACATCCATGTCCTGGACCAGAACACAAACATTGCCCGAGTGGAGATCGGACCACTCACCTACATCCGCCAGGATAATGAAAGGTCTGGAGATCCATTAAAATTACAAACTGCAGTCTGATCAGAGTCCCTGCTGACATTTTGGTGTTGTAGGATGCCTTCATATTTTTTTTTTTTTTTTTTCCCCAGACATGTATTTGTTGTGACTCTTCCATTAATCAAATAATTGGTCAGGCCAGTCCCTTGCTACATATTGTCCTAGCTACTCAGAGGTGAGTGGTGTATCACTACAACGGTGACATTCTCAGTGGACACAGAAGCTGCGGAAGAGGCTGTTACAAGCAGTTCATTTAACTAGGGCTGCTAAACTGACTGTTGAATCATCCTTCTATATACAATTAGATATTTGTCGATGGTCGGTCGTGTTTTATTCAATCCGCCAATCTCAACATCCAGAGGAAGAGTACCAGGTCTCAGCTGGCATCAAGATGAGCAAGATGTAACAGTTTAGGGCC